AAACATCTTTGAGGTCCCGATTCTAAGCCGTTAAGCATGGTGCACTAAACTATCAAGTAGTCATCATATTGAGCTAGCCAAATGTTCATAACGTCTGCGTCTGCTCCTGCAATAGGTCTGTCACCTAGCGGTGCATTAAGGACATAATTTTTCTGTGCAGCAATGAGGATAATCCTCAGGTTATGGACCCAGTCCGTGTAATTGCTACTAACATCTTTCAACATAATTTTTCTCTAGGAACATATCAAAATAAACATATGAAAGCAACAACGCAAGCTATTGATCTACAACATAATTTGCAAAATACTACCAGGACTAAGTTCATGATATATTAAAGTTCAATTAATCATATTACTAAAGAACTCCCACTTAGACAGACATCTCTCTAGTCATCTAAGTGATCACGTGATCCAAATCAACTAAACCATGTTCGATCATCACGTGAGATGGAGTAGTTTTAATGGTGAACATCACTATGTTGATCATATCTACTATATGATTCACGTTCGACCTTTCGGTCTCCGTGTTCCGAGGCCATATCTGTATATGCTAGGCTCGTCAAGTTTAACCCAAGTATTCCGCGTGTGCAACTGTTTTGCACCCGTTGTATTTGAACGTAGAGCCTATCACACCCGATCATCACGTGGTGTCTCAGCACGAAGAACTTTCGCAATGGTGCATACTCAGGGAGAACACTTCTTGATAATTAGTGAGAGATCATCTTAAAATGCTACCGTCAATCAAAGCAAGATAAGATGCATAAAGGATAAACATCACATGCAATCAATATAAGTGATATGATATGGCCATCATCATCTTGTGCTTGTGATCTCCATCTTCGAAGCACCGTCGTGATCACCATCGTCACCGGCGCGACACCTTGATCTCCATCGTAGCATCATTGCCGTTACGCCATCTATTGCTTCTACGACTATCGCTACCGCTTAGTGATAAAGTAAAGCAATTACAGGGCGTTTGCATTTCATACAATAAAGCGACAACCATATGGCTCCTGCCAATTACCGATAACTTCGGTTACAAAACATGATCATCTCATACAATAAAATATAGCATCACGTCTTGACCATATCACATCACAACATGCCCTGTAAAAACAAGTTAGACGTCCTCTACTTTGTTGTTGCAAATTTTACGTGGCTGCTACGGGCTGAGCAAGAACCGTTCTTACCTACGCATCAAAACCACAACGATAGTTCGTCAAGTTGGTGCTGTTTTAACCTTCGCAAGGACCGGGCGTAGCCACACTCGATTCAGCTAAAGTGAGAGAGACAGACACCCGCCAGCCACCTTTAAGCACAAGTGCTCGTAACGGTGAAACCAGTCTCGCGTAAGCGTACGCGTAATGTCGGTCCGGGCCGCTTCATCTCACAATACCGCTGAACCAAAGTATGACATGCTGGTAAGCAGTATGACTTGTATCGCCCACAACTCACTTGTGTTCTACTCATGCATATAAAATCAACGCATAAAACCTGGCTCGGATACCACTGTTGGGGAACGTAGTAATTTCAAAAAAATTCCTACGTACACGCAAGATCATGGTGATGGCATAGCAACGAGAGGGGGAAGTGTTGTCCACGTACCCTCGTAGACCGTAAGCGGAAGCGTTATGACAACGCGGTTGATGTAGTCGTACATCTTCACGATCCGACCGATCCAAGTACCGACCGTACGGCGCCTCCGAGTTCAGCACACGTTCAGCTCGATGATGATCCCCGGGCTCCGATCCAGCAAAGCTTCAGGGATGAGTTCCGTCAGCACAACGGCGTGGTGACGATGATGATGCTCTACCGGCGCAGGGCTTCGCCTAAACTCCGCGATGATATGACCGAGGTGGAATATGGTGGAGGGGGGCACCGCACACGGCTAAGGAACGATCCGTAGATCAACTTGTGTCATGGGGTGCCCCCTGCCCCCGTATATAAAGGAGGGAGGGGGGAGGCCGGCCGGCCCTTGTGGGCGCGCCAAGGAGGAGTCCTCCTCCTAGTAGGAGTAGGACTCCCCCTTTCCTACTCCTACTAGGAGGGGGAAGGAAGGGGGAGAGGGGGGAAGGAAAGAGGGGGGCGCCGCCCCCCCTCCGAGTCCAATTCGGACCAGAGGGAGAGGGGGCGCGCGGCCCACCCTGGCCGCCCCTCTCTCTTTCCACCAAGGCCCATGTGGCCCATTATCTCTCCCGGGGGGGTTCCGGTAACCCTCCGGCACTCCGGTTTTTTCCGAAAACGTCCAGAACACTTCCGGTGTCTGAATATAGTCGTCCAATATATCAATCTTTATGTCTCGACCATTTCGAGACTCCTCGTCATGTCCGTGATCACATCCGGGACTCCGAACAAACTTCGGTACATCAAAACTTATAAACTCATAATAAAACTGTCATCGAAACGTTAAGCGTGCGGACCCTACGGGTTCGAGAACTATGTAGACATGACCTAGAACTATTCTCGGTCAATAACCAATAGCGGAACCTGGATGCCCATATTGGTTCCTACATATTCTACGAAGATCTTTATCGGTCAAACCGCATAACAACATACGTTGTTCCTTTTGTCATCGGTATGTTACTTGCCCGAGATTTGATCATCGGTATCCAATACCTAGTTCAATCTCGTTACCGGCAAGTCTCTTTACTCGTTCCGTAATGCATCATCCCGTAACCAACTCATTTGGTCACATTGCTTGCAAGGCTTATAATGATGTGCATTACCGAGAGGGCCCAGAGATACCTCTCCGACAATCGGATTGACAAAACCTAATCTCGAAATACGCCAACTCAACATGTACCTTCGGAGACACCTGTAGTACTCCTTTATAATCATCCAGTTACATTGTGACGTTTGGTAGTACCCAAAGTGTTCCTCCGGTAAACGGGAGTTGCATAATCTCATAGTTACAGGAACATGTATAAGTCATGAAGAAAGCAATAGCAACATACTAAACGATCAAGTGCTAGGCTAACGGAATGGGTCATGTCAATCACATCATTCTCCTAATGATATGATCCCATTAATCAAATGACAACACATGTCTATGGTTAGGAAACATAACAATCTTCGATTAATGAGCTAGTCAAGTAGCGGCATACTAGTGACTATATGTTTGTCTATGTATTCACACATGTATCATGTTTCCGGTTAATACAGTTCTAGCATGAATAATAAACATTTATCATGAAATAAGGAAATAAATAATAACTTTATTATTGCCTCTAGGGCATATTTCCTTCACTGACATCCGTAATACATTAGTTTACCCTTCTAGCAACTTAGTTTCTTTTCAAATCGATCCTCTATACATTTCCGTTCCTTATTCATTAAACCTCTATGATGAATTGGGATCCCTAGATAACTAAAAGGTAGGGATCCCATTTCACAACCGAACAAATTTCTATAACCATCTTGTTCCTCTTTGGCTCTTCCAAAGCAGAACAATTCGCTTTTATTGAAATTGATTTTGAGTCCAGACAGTTGTTCAAAAAGACATTATACAAGCTTCATATTCCTAGCTTTTGCAAGATCATGTTCCATGAATATAATAGTATCATCCGCGTTATAGAACGGAGACACACCCCTCTACAAGGTGGGGGACGAGTCCTCCTACTTGGCCACTCTCTTTGGCTTGACCAATAAGTACTGCCAACATATCCGCTACAATGTTAAACAGCACAGGAGACATGGAGTCTTCCTGTCGTAACCCGTTATGTGTTTGAAAATAATGTTCTATATCATCATTGACTTTTGTTCCGACACTTTCTTTCTGTGGACATTTCACTTGGGAGCATGTTCTCCTAGTTGAATGCGACAGAAGTGATGTCTGGAACCAAGATCTTTGATCCTATTAAGACTCCGCTCCTGGCAGCGTGGATGGAGCGCGTTAGCGAGCCCGATGGTCTCGTAGAACAGACGATGGTTGTGGTATGGTTTTGCTTTGTGCCGCGTTTTCTCTTGGGGGCATTGTCCAGAAGGTGAGACCGTTCGGAAGGACTCGTGGTTCATGTTGGTGGTCATCAGCGTCTCATGTGGCAACATTGATGCGAATGAGTGAGATCGGGGTTACGACAAATTTGTGGTAGTCGGCTCTTCGGCATATTTGTGGCGTCCTAAGGATCGTTTTTCTTACAAAAGAGTTGGTGCTGCAGCAACTAGGCCTGGCTGACAATGCCGACTCTTCCGCGACTGGTTTAGCTAGGCGATCCTTCATGGCCCCAACCTTTACATTTCTTTATCCTAGCTCGCCTTCAGACTAGGAGCTGCCTTGCCTCCGGCGTGTGTGGCCGGTAGTTTGGCATAAGCCGGCAGATCTCATGTGCTCATCCTAGCAAGGTGTCGTTGTTGATCGAATGTACTAAAGTTGGAGCCGCTTGCTCGTGCAGAAGTGGTGACGATGACAGTTTGTGGACAACCTCAGCGGCATCCTTTCTTCGGTAGCGTTTGTTGATTCTATGGGTAGTATCTAGGTCTGTCAGGTGCTTTCTATGGGTGCGTTGTACCGGTTTTCTCTCGGTTTTTTGTAATTAACAGGGTAATTTTTTTCTTCTCAATTAAATAAATTGAGTCAAATGGACTCTGGATAGAAAAAAAAACTGTACTAGCGCTAGTTCGTCATGCTATACGAACGTTGGCTTGTGCCGCAATGCACAAAGACATAAGCCGATACGTCACGGGAGTCAATGCCCCGACCTTCGTGGCGTCTTAAGCTAGCGGTCAATGGTTGGGTCTGACCGAACTATTCAAACTGATGATAAGTACCATACCAAACAGCTGTGTCAGTTTTACCTAGCCTTCCTCTCCAAGTTGGGCATGTTCATCACGGGGATCTTGCTTGCATGCTCCCAGTTTGCAAGCATCACGAATGACGCATCAAAACTAGCAACCCAAACACTATATATAGATGATCCATATAACTCTGATCCACCAACCACCTAACGAAACACAAGCCATAACAAGCAGCTCAACCTTCATACACAGATCTAGCAGGAGACCATGGCCGGAGGAGACGACTTGAAGCTGCTCGGCGCTTGGGCAAGTCCATTTGTCACCAGGGTGAAGCTTGCGCTAAACTTCAAAGGCCTGAGCTTCGAGGATGTCGAGGAGGACCTCAGCAACAAGAGCGAGCTCCTCCTCAGCTCGAACCCGGTGCACAAGAAGGTGCCCGTGCTCGTCCACAACGGAAAACCCATTTGCGAGTCAGTGATCATCGTGCAGTACATCGATGAGGCGTTCGCCGGCATCGGCCCCTCTCTCCTTCCCTCTGACCCCTACGAACGCGCCATTGCCCGCTTCTGGGCCGCCTACATTGACGACAAGGTTGCACATGTATCTTTTTATGCATTGAAATTATGGCACGGGCATTCGGGGTTTGATTTTACTAATGTAATGTGATTTTGTGCAGCTCGTCACCCCATGGGTATAGTCATTAAGGGCCAAGACAGAGGAGGAGAAGTCCGAGGGGGTTAAGCAAACATTTGCCGCGGTGGAGACATTGGAAGGAGCCCTGAGGGAGTGCTCCAAGGGAGAGGGCTACTTTGGTGGTGAGACCGTCGGGCTTGTGGACGTTTCACTTGGAAGCCTGCTCTCCTGGTTGAACGCGACAGAAGTGATGTCCGGAACCAAGATCTTTGATCCTGTTAAGACTACGCTCCTGGCAGCGTGGATGGAGCGCTTTAGCGAGCTCGACGCTGCCAAGGAGGCGTTGCCAGAAGTTGATAGGGTGGTCGAATTTGCCAAGAAGAGGCAGGCACAGGCTGCCGCCGTCGCCGCTGCTTCAGAGAACAAGTAAACATCATGGGAACGTGAGTCCCATTGAATAAAAAAGAGTGCATGTTTTCTATATAGCATTATGATTGTTGTTTGTATGTGGATTCTTGATGTAATGGTGCCAAGGAAAATTAATGCATGTGATATTTTGTGAAGGTTTTATGATCATTTTAATATTTTGTGAAGTTTTAACATCATTTAGTACTTGTATTCTTTTTGGAATTCGTATTTCTGGTCTTGCCATTTGAATAGTTCCACTTCTTCTTAGAAAATAAAGTTGTACTAAGTCTACGCCATTTATTTTGAGACAGAGGAAGTATCTAACTAAATACTTTATTCATTTCAAAATAAATAACCTTTAAAATCTGAGCACATCAGCTCATGACACACTGAAAGTGTTCTTCGGACAACTCATCACGAAAATTTGCACGCAGGAAGATAATTCAACAATATTTGTTGCCCAAAAAATTAATATTTTTTATTTCTAAACTATATATTTCTATATTTTATATTTTTTCGAGAGCATTTATATTGTATATTTCACGAGGGTGCATTTGAGAACGAGTGTAGAAACTCGATAACTCTTGCTTGTGTAAAGAGTTATTCTTATCGCATCACATCAAGCAGATGATAGATTCACACACAAATGACGATCAAAAGATACAATACATTAGAACAGTACGGTGTAGCAATAAATTCTTTCTAAGCAAATATGCAAAATAAATCCTCACATAACGGGTACAGGGGTATTCCTAGTTTCCAACACCTAATGCCAGCTTAGTTTACTGACGCTGTGAAGCTGCAGCGACAGAGATGGCCTGCGCCTGCCTCGTCTTGAACTCGACCATCCTATTAACGTCCGACATGACGGCCTTGGCACCGTCAAGCTCGTCGAAGCGCTGCATCCAAGCGGCCAGCAGTGGGGTCTTAGCAGGGTCAAACATCTTGGTCCCCGACATCACCTCGGTCGCGTGCACCCACGTGAGCAGGCTGCCTAGCACGACGTCCACGAGCCCGACATTGTCGCCGCCGAAGAAGCCCTTGCCCTTGGAGCTCTCCCTGAGGGCTCCTTCCAGGGTCTCCACGGCGATGAACGTCTGCTCTATCCACTCAGACTTCTCCTCTTCCGTCTTGCCCCTGAACGACCGCACCCATGGGATCACGAGCTGCATACACGAGCATCACTTGAATGATCAGTAAAACCGCGTAGCTAATGGTGGGGCAGAGCCTTGCTCTAGCTCGCCGGAGTCCTCCCCTCACTCTCTTCTCTCCTCTCTCTGGCGCACACCGAAAAAGAAAGGAAGAAGAAGGAGATGCAGTGGACACGGTGGTGTTTCTCGGCGCATGAACGCCCGCGGCGACAATGGCAAAATTTTCCTCGAGCAACAACTCGAGCCACACCACACAATGTACAGAGGGGGAGGGCTTTATACGCGCGCGCACTCCCCACCCGCCCGACGCGCACGCACGCGCTCGACACGGCCAGATCCAGCGCCCGACGCGGTCACACCTCCGCACATTGCGCCAACAGACACACACGCGCAGGCACACACACGCACCCTGCCGCAGACCCGACGCGGCACCTGACCTCGTCCGACACGACCAGCTCGCGCACACACGCGCTCTGGCCACGCCCACCGTGGCTTATGCCCTAATAACAGCTAAAAAGAAGAGAATAACATGTGAAACCTTGTCATCGATGTAGGCGGCCCAGAAGCGAGCGGCGGCGCGCTGGTGGGGGTCCGGGGGGACGAGGGAGGGGCCGATGTCGGCGAATGCTTCGTCGATGTACTGCAGGATGATAATGGACTCGCACACGGAAGCGCCGTTGTGGATGAGCACGGGCACCTTCTTGTGCACAGGGTTGGAGCTGAGGAGTAGCTCGCTCTTGTTGGAGAGGTCCTCTTCCAGGTTTTCGTAGCTCAGGCCCTTGAGGGTGAGGGCAAGTTTCACCCTAGTGGCAAATGGGCTTAGCCATGAGCCGAGCAGCTTCAGTTCGTCTCCTCCGGCCATCACCTGTGTGTGTATGTGTGGCTGTGTGTCTCAGTGTGAGAGCTGAGCTCGTTTTGGCTTGTGTTTCGTTTTGGTATTTGGTGGATCAGAGCAAGTGGGGTTATGTCGGGGAAGTCCACGAGTCAAACACGATGTACTTAGATACTCAGAAAATCCGGCCTTTCAAACTCCCGCGGATGAGTCCGGACCCATCCGCGGTCACTGATGGGGCATTCACTATATCCGCGTCTCCACACCCACGTATCTCATATTCTGTTTCCTATTTTCATACTAAAACCTCATACCCCCTCGCGTCGCCTCCCATGACGACGCCAGGGGTCCCAAACCCTACGCGCCGCCGGTCTTCGGATCCGGCCTCCACTGTCGCCGCTGCTGCCGACTAGGTCTACAGTGGCGGCAGGCCCGTCGCCAAAGGCGTATGGGCGGGCGGTTAGCTACGGGACTCCCGGGAGGCGGCATGTGTGTCACTTGCATAGGGCGCGCGGGCACCAGTTCGAGCGGCGGCTCCGACTCAGCGACGGTGGCCGGCATTTCTCGGCTTGCGCGTGGGGCTGGTTCCTCTACCTATAGTCGGGATCCGCTGGTGGCCGTGGATTTGGAGTCCCGGCCAGATCCGTCTCGGCGCAGCTTTGGTCGGCCAACAATGCGCGGAGGGGGGCGGATGGAGGCTCCCTGTCGGTGTTCCGGTGGCAGCATTCGTCTTTACGGTGAGGCTCTACTCGGATCCGGTCAGCTGCGAGATCGGGGTGACGCGACATCCGCTGAAAATCGCGCCGACTTTGGTCATGACGGACGATGGCGGCGTGTATGACGTCGTTCCCTTCTCGAGGCATCGTTGTTGCAGGTCATGGCACCTCACTCGTGATGCTCCGAAGGAAATCCTAGATCTGGATCTACCGGATTGGACGATGATGGCACGTTCGACGTTGTTGTCCCTCCCGAGGGCATCGTTTTGGAGCAAGTGCTGGTTGGACGGGACAAGCGGAGGTGCGGTGTCACATCCACCGCAAGGCCGACGGCGGATCTTGGTGGCATGGCGTTGCAGAGGTTCGGCGACGGGCGCATGTGGACGGATACATGCAGGATGGTGGAGTTTCCTGGCGTTGTGGTGGCGTCAACGGCACGCCAGGCAAGGTCGATGTGTCAGTTCCTTTTATGGAGATGGACCGGTGGAAGATGGCGGCGACAGCCTCTGAGAGTGCGTCAGACCGGTATGGGACCCAGTCTCGGTGTGTGGCTGGGTTGGGGCATCTGGCTATAGATGTTAGGATTTGGTGCGATGTCCGTTTGGTATTAGGCCCGGGTATTCAACACACCTTCATCAAGGGGATAGGAGTAGCAACAGGTGTTGCCTAGATGGTGACTTCAGACTGACTGATGTATTACTTTATATGGTCTTTGAGAATAATTAATTATATGGCTGCATGCATCGTCCAAATGCAGAGTCCAGGGGTTTATCCTCCTTTTAAAAAAATAAAAATTCAACTAAACCATGAAACGTTGATAAAAGCTACGTAAATCATGAGCGGACATACAAATGCCCAATTGGTTCGTCAGAAGATCACAGCCGGATCATTAAAAGATAGCCAAAGTTCACATAATACACATAATACGGCGGACAAGTTCAAACTACAACTAAAAACTTAAAATAAAGACGGATGTTCACCACTTCCTCGCCGGCCCTTTGCCCTTCCGGTCACCGGCGCAGCTATAGGAGTCTGCGGCAGGAGGTGGGTCCATATCGGAGATATCGGACCCGTCGGAGGAGGAATCGGAGATGAGATGAAGCCTTGCAAGCGTCGGACGACGCGGTCTTGCTGGCGCTTGAGCTTGGCCACCCTCTCCGCCTCCTGCTCGGATTGCTCAATGCCGAGCCAGAGTTACTTGACGTTGAGCCTCCGGAGTAGTCGAGCCTTCGTCTCCGCCTCAGTCAGTGACCGACGGCACGCCCACTCAAAGAGAGTGCTCCTCGTCGGGCACCTGGCGGCGACGGGCGGACTGCACAGACCCATCTGACCCGCCCGCCTTATCCCTAGCCATCTACCTCTCGCGGCAGCCAGCTCGTGCCTCCGACTCTGATGACCGCATTCGCGTCGGCTGAGCGGGCACTAGAACCCAACGTTGCACGCGTGGAGCAGCGGGCGGAGGTGGAGGCGGCCGTCGAGCGGGAGGAGCAGATCTGGCAGGCCTTGCAGATCTGCGCGCGGGGCAGGAAAGGCCGGTGCCGGCATCGGCGCTGGCGCAATGGGCGATGAGGGGCACCGCGCCGGACCCGGAGCTGCCGCGCGTATCGACCAGCGAGCGCTCGAGTGCGATACGAAGCGCTAGCTCCTCCTCGTCTTTGGAGCTACCATCACTACTAGGAAAAGGGCTATAGATGGAAATGGCACTAATGGCGCACCAGACATGTGGTGCGCCATTAGTATATACTAATGGCACACCACCTTCTGATGCGTCATTAGTGTTGAAACTACTAATGGCGCACCCTGCCTACGGTGCGCCATTAGTACCAAATTTTTTTTTTGAACTAGTGCACCTGTCCAAACATACTAATGGCGCACCGTGTGTGTGGTGCGCCATTACTAGTTTGCCATTACTAGTTAAACTAGTAATGGCGCACCATGCCACGGTGCTCCATTAGTAACCTTGGCCACCACTTCCACCGAA